GTGGAGAGCGCCGACCCCTCTGGAGATGTGGAGAGCGCCGACCCCTCAGGGTAGGAGAGATGAGGAGCGTCAGCCGGAACCCCCTCGGAGTAGGAGAGATGAGGAGCGTCAGCCGGGACCCCCTCGGAGTAGGAGAGATGAGGAGCGTCAGCCGGGACCCCCTCAGGAATGGCTGAAAAAGGAGTCTTTAGAGTCTCTATTTCTGTTAACAAAAAATCATATTCTGGGAGTAAAGAAAGGCCTGGGACAGAAAGTAAAAAATCCTTCATCTGGGTCAAAACTAAATCAAAGGAGGATGGGTTTCTTTTTGCAGAACTAAACAGTTTGAGAATAGTCTGATTAATATTAGAAATATCCTCAGGGGAAAAAAAAGGAAGGTCAGTGTGAGTGGGTGTGGTGACGGGTGCCGCCCCCACCGGAAACCTGGGAGGTGAGGCGGCGGGACACGCCCCCACGGAGTCACAAAGAAAACTCTCCGGAGGTACGGCCAGGCTGGGTCGAACAGCTGCCGTGCGGCGTGACGGTGAGAGGCCGGATTCCGCCCCCACCAGGAACCTGGAAGGTGAGGCGACGGAACCCGCCCCTGTAACGTCAACCGGACCGGACTTACCGAACCGAGCAGGAGTGGACCGGAGCTCCCGCGGGACGCTGGACCTCGCCCCCACCGGAAACCTGGGAGGTGAGGCGGCGAACCCCGCTCCCACGAAAACACCGGAACCAGCTCTGAAGTTCTGCTCGGCAGCGACCGGACCGGCCGCCGCAGACTGCCTCCGGAACCGTCCACCGCGACGGCGGTGGCGGGACGGTGGATGGACGGAGACGGAGAGGAGCTCGTCCATCAGGCACGAGGAGGGAAAAAAGAAAAATGGGTGAGTGTTTGCCGAGTGAGAACCCTGCCCGCTGGGTTCTGTTCTGGTCGGGTCGTACTGTTAGGATTTGGGGTCGGAGCGAACCCAGAGTGCAGAACAGGGACTCAACTCGGCAGATATACAAAAATAAGTCTTTAATGATAAATGAAAAGTACAAAATAAATAAGCTGACGGGGCAGCAAAACTTACATAAACAAGGAGGGAGGCACGGGGAACTCAGGAGACATGAGGAACCAGGAAGAGAAGGAGAGACTCAGGAGACTCAAGGAAGCACACCCAACGAAGACGACCCGACAAAGGACAAGACAGAAATGGACTGCTTAAATACTTGGAGAAGACGAGACATGATGACAAACAGCTGGGACGAGACACAGGTGGCAACAATGGAACTAATGAGGGAGCACGAGGGAAACAGACAAACCGGGCCACAGAAAACTAACATCCTTACAATTATGTCCAGTCAAGCCAACTTGGTATCAGATAGAAAGCTTAGTTCTTGAAACATTAATATTCATACTTTCTACAAATGTCATTGTCCTTCCAAGTACATCTTGTTTTGCAGATGACACAACTTTCAACGAGTTTGCCATGTTCCAAGTCATTGCATGTTTATCAAGACAACGGACAACGGCAAAACTAAAAACACAATTGCATTGTTTAAATTTTCTATTCTGCCACAGAAGTCAGTCTCAAAGTTGCTCCAATTCATTTAAAGCAAATTGTCAAGAAAAAGTAAAATTCTAATATAAACAATCTTGGACAAAAAGTTGTGGAAATCAGTAAAACTTCCACACAGACGGTAGTGGGAATGAATCATGATTTGAAAATGAAACGATATTTGGAGCTTATCTAACTGATGGCTGAGCACAGCTTTAATTGGCAATAAAATGTCTAGGCTGTCTCTTCTCCTCAACCATTCTTCCTTCCTGTAACTCTACATTTAGGTCCTTCTCATTAAAATCTCTCTCAACCTCTTGCGCTGTTGTGCTTGAAAATTGGAGGTGTGAAATGTGTTGCGGAGGTGCGCTGACAGGCAGCAGCTAGTCAATGGTGCTTTATAAGGGGGTGGCGAGGGCGTCTCTGGAGGACTTTGGACACACGTGTTGCTGGACCTGTGTTTGTGTGCGTGTCTCCCATTGAGCAGTGCCAGGCCACACTTTAATCCTGGCATCGGCGGAGGTGCAGCTTGCTCCAGATGGGGCCATTGTACTGCACCATGCATCAATAATTCACAGAGAGCCAGAGAAAGTGGCAGAGTGCGTCTGCCTGCTCAATAATTAACCAGGAAATGGGGAGAAGCATGTATGTATGGACTAGGTCCTTCTCCAAACGCCCATTCAAATGGCCTTTGATGTCGCCGGCCTGGGGGGTCTTTGGATTTGTCGGCTCATTAGGATGTCACCCTCCTTTTCCTTTTATTTGTTTTGTAATCCAGTTTTGTGGAGAACAGGAGCCGAATTTACATTGTGATACTGGCACCAATACATAATATGCCACTGTTCGAGTACATAATGAGCTATTTTCAGTTCTGCCTCCCTGTGCACCTTTTGTTACTTTCCAACTGCAGGTAGGACATTGAAGAGAGTATTGTTTATGCTCCTGCTCATTTCATTTCTTCCATCATGCTGTTTTGTGGGTGGCATTACATCAAACGTTGTTTTTGTTGCATCTTCTGCAGAGAGACAGTTCCTTAAGGTGTAAAGTTCAGATTACTATAAATAATCCAGTCTTTGACTTCTTCCTTTATATTCTTTACTGCTCTTTTTTGTTTGATAGCACATGATTTAAGACTGTAAACACTGAGTCTAAAATATTAAAACTGTTATTTGCAATAGGAGCAAGAGGACAGGATTTAGATGCCTCTGCTCGTGACAGGAGGCATAGTTAACTACATTTCCTGACACCGCATGCATGTCATCTCCACACAAACTATACTTCCACTTGCAACGGAGCTTCCTTTGCTTCCATCTCTTCCCTCTTTCACTCGTCTTGCTCGATGCACCTTACATTAAAAAGTCCTCCTCCCCCTCCAGCGAAAGTCTCACTACTCCATCGTCACCTCTTCTCTCACCTACTTCGATTTGGTTTAACGCAGTAAAAGCCCATCTGCTGTTCCCTTTCTGTTTTTTTTTTGTGTGTGTGTGTGTGTGCCTCGCCTCCTCTCTGCTCCCCTGTGCTCTTATTAGAAATGAGGGAGTTGTCGAAGTTGCCCTGGCCTTCCCCAGTGGGTCAGCTGGAAGAGCAGCCCCCCGTCAGAGAGCAAGGTGACCTCTCACCCTGAACACTCTGCACCCCTCCGCCATTATTGCCTTCCATTAACAGCCCAAACACACGCAGTTGTCCAGACCGCAGCAACCCTGTTGTTTGACATCTGCTATAACCCCGACCCTCCACCCCCACCTCCAGCTGCAGCACCTTCATCTATTCCTACGTTTAGCACTTGTTGAATATGAGTTGGGGTTAAAACTTTTTTTTTAACCATATATTTTGTAACTCCCTGTTATGATGATGAATGTATTTATTTAAAAATACTTACAGTGCTAATATTTTATTAAAGCTTAAAGTTTTGAACATGTTGGTTAAAAATATGATGAAAAATACTTCAATATGTACTAATGGAAAACAAAGTATCTATGGGCCAGAAATACATGAAACCAAATACAAGCAAAAATAGCATATTCTTGTCTGTCTGCTCTATAACAGGCTCATTTGATGACAACAATTGTAAAGACGATATTGTTGTCAGACCCCTGACCTGCTGACCCTGCTGTGACCCATCTCTGAGTAATCCCCCCTCCCCAACTGTTTCTTTGTTTTCACAATAGTCAAATATCTGATGTTTACCCAAGGTCTGACTGAGAAGTTTAATCCCTTTTGGTTATATTGCTGTGTAAATAACATGACTCACTTTTTCTGTCCATGCTTGCCAACAGTGCAGTTTGACGGAGCAGAGTGGGATCGCTCGTCATCGCCCACAGAGCGGTTGCGTCCTCCTGGGCCCAGGTCCAGCCCACTAGCAGGAGGGGGAATGAAATTTCGAACGCCGCTCGAAAGCCCGACGATGATGGGAGAGAGAGTGGACGCCACTCTGCCTTTGGAGAAGCAGGTGTATGTATTCATGGAAACCCAGCATCACCAGTTCCAGCATCTGATAATAGACTGCTCTTTGATTTGCTGGAATAAACCAATTATTTTGGCTGTGGCATTTTTCAGACTTAAAATGTTTAATTTAATCAAACTAATTGTGGGTTTACAACTATTTATGCATGCAAATGTGATTATAGTGGGCTTTAAATGTTTTTGAATTGCTTACATATGCACAGTTATCACATCTCTGTAGAAAAGTGGTCATGAATAAGTGAGGGTGGACTCAGCTGTATAGTTTTATTGCTCTGCTTTGATCTATTATGGGCTTGAACATATTCAAATGAAGCTGTTATGTGTTTCAGCCGAGCAGAGTTGCACAAGGTTAGAGTGATAACTAATTAAGTTAAAGCTTTCAAGGCACACATTTACTTTGGTCTTAATTTCAAACATCATTGGTGTAATTTATGGTCTGTCTTTGCCTCATATAAAGGGCTATTCTGGTAATGAAACTCATCCCCACGACACATTTTAAACACAGATGTAAATTCAAATGAAGCTCACAGTGTTGTACACAGAAGTGCATGTTTAAGGGAACCAATTATGCTCTGCTACTCCCTTATGGTTGTTTCTGAACCTGTTTTGAGTTTTTAGGTTGCTTCAATAAAAGAAGTAGAAATATGTGTTGTGTTTCCAGATTGTGGTTCCACTTGTGCCATATTTTACTCTTGTTGTGTTTGCTCCAGCAGTTGGTACCACGGTTCACTGTCCCGTTCAGAGGCAGAGTCTCTGCTAACACTGTGTAAAGAGTGTAGCTACCTGGTGAGGAACAGTCAGACTAACCGCTCCGACTACACCTTGTCTCTACGGTAAGACACATACACACCTAAGTCACTCAGGAAAAGTTTGGAATAACTTTGAATTTGTTCATATTTTTCTACCAAGAAGGCCAACTTTCATGTAACCTGTTTTCTTGGTCAATCCTTCTCTAGACTTTCTAAAAGTCTTTCAAGGTTGATTTTTTTTTATTTTTACCTTGTTTGCTTTTTCATTCAATTTCAGTCCAGTCCTTGTACCTGACCAAGACAGCATATTGTAAATGGTAAATGGACTGTACTTATAAAGCACCTTTCTATCTAATCAAGATACTCAAAGCACTTTTCAACACAGTCTTTGCCCTCATTTACTCATTCATACAGCACTCTACTAGATCTCTACAAAGCTGATCTGAATCTGTAAAAAATAATCAGAGCTTTAGGTCACGTTCATAAACTGATGGGACACACATCGGAGGCAATGAGGGGTTCAGTGTCTTGCCCAGGGACACTTCAACATGTGACTGCTGGTTCAGTTGAACCCCCAACTCTCCCACTGGAGGATGACTGCTCTAACCACTCAGCCACTGCTGCTGTATATGTGCATCTAAAATAAAGCTCCAGCAGATGATCAGTGTTAGAAGGTCATGTCTTAAAACATAGCAAAGACCTGCCACAGGATCTGAGAAATGGATCCTTCCATTGATAATCTACTAAATGTTGTATTTCAACAGCACTTGTGTGCGTGCAGACACTTCAGTCTCATGTGTGAAAACAGATACAGGCCTGTTCAGTATTTGTAGAATGTGAGATGTGTCCCTGCTGATCAAAGATATGGTGAAGCACATATGTTCTTTGTCAGAAGTGCTGATACGTATAAAAAGAATGAGCAGCAATCTGTCGTTGGCTATTGTTTCTGCTGTTTACTCGCGCAAGAGCATAAAAATGATTGACTTCAGCTATCCGTAGTATGCACATGCAATTTCATACCAATGCTGGGCATTTCCACAAACCTCCACTCTGAATCCATCCATCCATCCATTCATGATCTTTACCCGCTTCCTCCTTTTCTGAGTCACGGGAGTCACTGGTGCCCATATCCAGCAGTCACTGTGAGAGAGGCGGGGGACACCCTGGACAGGTCTTCAGTCCATCACAGGGACACATGGAGACAAACAACCATTCACTCTCTCACACTTACCTAGGGACAATTTAGTTACCAAATCAGTCTAACATGCATGTTTTTTGTCTGTGGGAGGACAGAACATGAAATCTCCACCCAGAATGGCCCCGTGTCGGGATTTGGTCTAGCAACCTTCATGCTGAGAGGCGGCAGCTCTACCAATTGTGCCTCCCCTGAAACCCGAATTCAAATATTTTGGTGTCAGAGTGCACAACTGCTGTTGTCACGTACATGAACAGCAAAATCACACAAATTGTTGCATTGCGCATGTTATAATTTGCCTTAGAAACAACATTATGGAAAGAGGGCAACAAGTTGATGTGTTGACACAGTACTGACTCATTCATTGAGTTTAGAAGACGTTTGATGCCTGTATGATTCTCTTGTCTAGTCTCTTATATAAATAAGGCTACCTTTCTCAATAACTTGTCTAAAAGTAAAAAATATACATTATATTTAAAGCATGTGTGTTGTCTGCTGCCTTGCATGCCAAAAAAAAATCAAAGATCACGGGTGATCTGTTACAACAGGAGTATATTAATGATGACTCAGCAACTACCACTCCAGATTTTGTCTCATTATCAGTCAAGCTGACTAAGTTATCACCATTTTTGTGTTTGCTAAAGTCCAATAGCTGTGGCAGCCATCCTAAATAGAGTTCATTCTGTTGTAGATGTACGTCCAATTAATTTAACTTCATTATAATCTGTCCAGTGGTTCATGAGATATTTTACAAACAGACAAATGGGCACATCCACACAATGGCATTTACGTGATCATCTGCTTTTCTTGGCAGCAGGTGATATAATGGCCAAATGCAAACTGTAAATTGGCGAAAAAAATCAGCCAAACTCCTATGAGAATTTTAGAAAGACCTACAGAAACCCTAAAGAAGTATCACTCAAGACTATTCCAAGGAAAGTCTGTCTTCTTGAAATCAAACTTTAAAGAAAAACTGTTGAACATCTTGAGTGTGTGTGTGTGTGTGTGTGTGTGTGTGTGTGTGTGTGTGCATGTGCATGCGTGTCTAAGGGCCTGAGCTGCTCATCTCATATTGTATTCCCCCACACCTCTCCAGCTGTCTGTCGCTCTTCTCTCTCCCATCTACTCTCTACCATCACCTTCACTTTAGATTACTGTCACCCTCGTTCCTCTCCTGATGCTCATGTAGGGCACAATACTGCGTATCTGGTCAAATCTCTCCCTTGCAATTACAATCATGATCCATTGTGCTGGCCTCGCACCAATCTCCCATCATCAGTCTGTCCTCTCACCATCCTTGGCCTCTCCCTCTGTGGCCCTCCTCCTTAGCCCCAGCGGGCCCTCTAAGTGGTAATCAGGCAGGTAGAGCACACTTCAGCGCACATATCATCCTTCACATAATCACTAATGAATATGAATTACCTTCTGTAGGACACCCAAGAAAGGAATTAGGTGGGGAAGAAGGGGGAGTGAGAAAGAAGTGGAGTGGAGCCGGTGTTGTGCTGACATGTAAACAAGCTCATGCTGTATTCATGTATATGAGAAAAGTGCTTCTGACACGCATAAACACACACATGTCCAAGTAACAAGGTCAGTGCTGGGACCGTGTTCCCAACTGGGAGATAATGGGTTTAAAGTAGGGAATGTATCAAGAAAACTTGTTAACGTTGCATTCTTTTAAAGGTCATCAGACAATTTTAAAGTGAGCCGCAGCTTAACATGTGCGTTTAGGAGTAATAATAAAACTGGTCATAGATATACAGCTGAGATTTGGGGGCTTTGATGTGTTGTTCATTGATCATTACCAGCATTCCTCATACACTCATTTTGGATGTTAGCTTGGGATTTGCCTAATATATATATATATATATATATATTTTTTTTGTTCTGATGGTTATAAAAGTGTCATACATGGCACTCTTTGTAATGCATGCCCTGTAAACAAAACGCAAAATTCTTGCACTATGCAACATTTTAGTCACCCATGGTCTGTGTCATGAATTATTTCGGTTCAATTCAATTCTCTTTCTTTATATAGCATCAAGTAACAACAGACGTTGTCTCAGGGCACAGAAACATTCACACACATAAAAAAAACACAATTACGATCGAGTCTCAGTCACAGTCTCCCATCCTGAGCAAGTACATTGGTAAGAGCAGAAAGAAAAAACTCCCTTTTAACAGGAGGAAACCTCCAGCACCAGGCTCGGGACGAGCAGCCATCTGCTTCTACCAGCTGGGGTTTGAGAGAACAGGAAGGAGAAACAGAAAAACATAGAATGACAGGTCCAGGTGTACTTTCTATTGGAGGAAAGACAAAAAACACATGACAAATACAAACGGGTAAAGTAAAGACAGCAGCAGAGTGAGGACATGTGGTCAGTTGGTCCTGCAACAGTCTAAGCCTATAGCAGCATAATTAAGAGACAGCTCAGGAAACCCAAGGAGACTAACTATAGGATTTATCAAAAAGGAAAGACTTACAGCTAATCTTAAAAGTAGTCAATGTGTCAGCTTCACGGACGGAAAGTGGAAGTTGGTTCCACAGGAGAGGAGCCTGATGACTGAAAGCTCTGCCTTCCATTCAACTTTTGGAAACTCTAGGAACCACAAGTAAACCTGGAGTCAGAGAGTGATTTATAAATAAAAAGTGAAGATTTTTTTTAATCCGAAAAAATAAAATTGATAGATAGGTGTGTTTATTCTTTTTATTTAAGCTTATTTACACATTTGGCTATGTGAAAGCAAAACCTGCTGAGCCCATGAGGTCATAAAAAGTTGATCGTTCGTATTATCTGATGGATTTTTCCAGTTCTTCTGACTCCTGTGCTGTCTACAAAACTTTGAGAGTATTTTATTGCTCGGATGTTTCAAACTGTGTCCTTTCCTCTCTCTGGTGCACAGACGCCATCTTTAACAGCAATGTAGACCAACAAATTAATTACATATTGTTTGCTTAAATTCTTTAAAAGCTTTCTTGAAGCTAGTGTGCATATGTAATTAAAGAATTTACATAGATCGGCTCATATGGCACTAAAACATTTTGGACAAATGAGCTACTCCCATCTGTTAAATTTTATATAACAAGTAGAGCAGTTAATGTAATTTAGAGACAATAATATATATTCTCCTGGTTGATATAACCTTGGTTAAACCAAAAAAATAGTTTGAATCAAGTAAAACAGGGAAAAAGTGTAACTAAAGTTTTTTTTATTCCTACGATTGGTAGCAGCAGTAGAGCCTTTAGGGAGGTTTCGTCTGTCAGCGTAACCTTTGGAGAAAAGTATAAACTACAAGTGCTATCGCTGTGTGTCATTGATGTTATCTGTCCTTGGATGTTCAAAGTCTCTCCAAGTGAACAGTAAGATTACACAGGATTGAAAACAACAGTTGGAACAGCTGAAGGTTACTCCAACAACAGCAACACACATGATTTCAGTGTTTATTTGAGTTTTAATTTACCTATTAATATCTCCAGATACATTTTATTAGCATTTAGCCCAGGTTGTTCAATTCTTATAAAAATGAATAACACAGCACAAACAAATAAACATATGCAAGACAAACAATTCATATCTATATATCATGTAAAAGAGTGCAAAATACTGGATTAAATGGTGATTCATGGCTTGAACATCTTACTTTTAATGCTCATTATTTGTGATTGTAACATCAAAATGTCAAAAAATGCAATTCAGTCTTTGAGTTTTAGTGAAACAAGTGACAATAATTGTTCATTTTGAGCATTAGCATTTGAACATTTTTTATATTTCATTTACATTTAACTAACATGAAAATGTTAAAAAAAAGTATATATAAGCAGCATTTTTTATTAAACTTCAAAATAATTAGCTCAAACAAAGACCTATTAAAAACTGAAGTTACGTTTATTTTTGCAGTAAAAGAGACAAACAACAAATGTGCGATATGATTACAAACTGTAACTAAAACTGTGATGTGGAGAAACAAATAGTCTCATAGATGGAGGGCCATCCTTTCAGTGAAAGATCGAGATCAGATTTTGAGGCGTGTCTTATTTATTACAGCTAAATGTACTATTTAAAGTCTGAGCATAGTTTGAAACCAAATCAACTTAATAAAGTACATTTCATGCAGAGTGCAACCCAGTGGGCTTTTTTAAATTTAGAACTTAAAACATAGAAGAACAACACACACACACAGAGAATGTTTTGCTATCTTTACGCGGACTTTGCAGTGACGTCCATTCATCTTTCCATTTATTTCTGTACCCTGACCCTGACCCTGACCCTGACCCTAACATGAGCAGGCCTACATACCTAACCCTAAACCTAACCCATCCTCAATGTACACCTTGGTCAAAAAAAAAAAGAGCCAAAGTAAACCTGACATTTACACAAACTTGTGCATACTGTGAACAACCCCACCCCCCCCCCACACACACACACACATACACACACATATAAATGCAAAAAAATCCACAGCTTTTGCCCTCTCCTTGGACCTCTGCAACACTTTCTGAAACCGAACACAAACCAGGGACACAGGAAAGAGAAAACATAAACTTTAACAAGCCATCATCCC